TATATATATATATATATATATATATATATATATATTGTCATCCAGAGATAGACTGTTTTGGTGTATCACAGCCCTTCAATATGGCTAGACGTTCGATTGTTTCAATATATATATATATATATATATATATATATATATATATATTGTCAACTGAAAAAAAATTATTTCGCTTGAGGTCTTCGAGGAGAAAAAGTGAATTTGTAAACAGTGACTATTACTGCTGCTGATGCAAGACTCTTCGTTAAGACGAATCGAGCTCTCCATTGACCGACGTGTTTTTCTAAAGAAAAAAAAATTAAATAAATACGTCTAAATTCACCTTCATCCCTGCCGTGCGCCAATATCTTAGGGGTAAAATCTCCGACTGATACCAAATCAGTCCTGTTTCGATTACGGCTTGAAGCAATCGGATGTCTAGCCACACTGATGAGCTGTGAAAAAACAGCGAAACAGTCTGTCTGTGGATGACAACATATATATATATATATATATATATATATATATATATATATATATATATATCCAAGTGTAAGGTAGATTAATACCAGTGTCCAAACATTATATTTTTTAAAATTGCCCAATACAGAGAATAGCTTAAAAATAATTGTAACAAAAATATGTTATAAACCGCCACATAAATGCAATCATGTTTCGACATTGTATGTGCTTCTTCAGATGGTGGTGGTCAACTGGAGAATAAATGATCATTTGAAGCTTTAAAAGCAACAATACCCACACAGGGAGGGAAAAGAGGGAAGAAACTAAATTTCTAACATGCTAGGAGTCGACCTCGTGTAACCAAACAGATGTCAGACCTATAATGAGTTCGAAGTTAACTTCCATGTTGGATTTCTGTTGACTGTACAAATTATTTGGAATCATACTTAGATGTTAACTAAGTGTCAAGGTTATTGTATTCCCTGGTCTTAACTCAATAAACTAACATAAGAAAATAAACTATCAAGATGAAAGCAAAGGATAAGTCTACCAATAAACCTGTCTATGCCCCATATCTATATCGGCAAGCAGTCACCATTAGTTCGACACACTAAAGCCAGACATGGTTGCGGAGAGGAGGAGCAGGGAGTGGGTAGAGGAGGAGGGTGTAGACCGGCCATTAAACTTCGTCTTGAACGTGTGAGCCCGTAGTAAGTGTGACAGTGTTACTTTTACGTTATAGCTGGTGTACAAAAGCCCCTTTAATAGTCAAGGCAACCAAAATCCAACAATTCAATTATAATAAACTCGGAAATTCGAAAGCAGCAATAATAACGACCAATCATATATGAATATATGCTATCCTACACATATATACACAAGTATACACATAGATATAAATATGTTTATTCATACATATACAGGTATATACCCATACATAAACACACACACATATATATATGCGTGTGTGTGTGTGGCTACGCACCTATACAGGTATACACATAGACACCCAACTAACAGAAACATAATCACAAACCAATATAGAAACAAATACGTACTCAGCCACATAAACCCGTACCCATGCATACACAAATCCATACGTAAACATGTACACATATGCACATCCACATAGGTAAATACGTAGGCACAAATACATACAAATAAGTACAAATGCGTGCACATATAAACTCATACAAACATATCTATACACCTATATACATATACACATACATACACATGTACATGTGTATATATCCCTATATAGATATATACACGCACACACATATATTTGCATATACATACACATACATGCAGCCACACATATACATATTTAAACCGAATATGCATATAAGGAGCAAAAATAGCACCGACACAGACAAGTATGCTGTAAAATCCAAATGTACACATATCTACATTGAAAACACACATATCTACGTTGAAAACACATTGATTTGGAAATTCTTGTAAAAATCAAGTAATTGTCCGATTTTAATGAAATTTTCAGGACTTATTCACAAATGAATGAAATTATTTTTTAAATATTTTTTTTAGAAAATTTTGGTAAAAAATTTATTAAAAAAAATATGTTACCCCCCAACCCCACTTACTTAATTTCATAAAATTTCGCACAAAACCTTTCTATTTCCGGATTTTTTTTTTTTTTAGTAGGAGTCTTTGGAGATTGTAAATCATCTACTTTTTTTTCAAATTTGAGCTATTCTAACTGAAAATCTGCTCTGAATTGAAAAATATTGAATCCAATAAAACTATGACATTCGTTAATTAGAAAAGCTTTTAATTGCTTTTGTAAAGAAGTAATATTAAGGACATTATTGTCTGAAGAAATAAATTTTTTCTGATTAATAATGAAGTTTTACAAGATTTTTTTTCATTTTTTTTTTTAATTTTAATTATAATAACTTATAATAGTTTAAAATGTAAAATTCAGTATTGGGCTATTTCCTGGATGTAATATAGTAATTAAGTGGAATCAAAATCTACAAATCAAAAATTGAAAAGATTAATCAACTTAGTTGTGCTATTCTAATTTTAAAATAATTTTTTATAATAATATTTTTTTACTTAATACATTCATTATTTTCATGTACGGTAGACTAAAATTGCCATTATTATGATCTAAAAGTTTTGTCCCTTCAGTTACGGTTCAATAGGTTTTCAAAATTTCTATCCAGCTTTAAAAGTTTAAACTATGTTTTACTTTTTTTCAATTACTATTTCGCTAAATATTTTTATTTTATGTATTTACATTAGTGTGAGACATACTTCAATTGAGTAATCATGGTATTTCATTTGTTATTAAATTATAAAATTAATTGAAGAAAATTTTATAGTATTTTAATTTTTTTTATTTTTGCATCTTCGAAAGGTATATAAAAGTCAATAAAATGTTAAATAATTGCGGAAAATATGTTCATTTGTAAAAATTACTAGGTAGTTTAAAACAAAAAAAAATGCGTTCACTTAGATTTCTGACAATTGGGTCATCCATAGTAGCTGTCATCGCTTCGTCTATCAGCAGTCCATCAAACATTGGATCAGACGAACAGGACCAATCGTTAATCATTGGTTGTATATTATTTTTATGTTAAAAGTAAGTAATATTATTTCAAATCAGATTAATTTAACTTTAAATTTTCTAATTTTACTAAAAAAACGTGTCAGAAATATATATTTATTTTTTGAATGAATTTTAAAACAGAAAAACTTGTTTTGTTTACAAATTTCTTAAAATTAAGAAAATGGCCGCTTTTAAGAAAATTTTAAGAAATCAGAATTAAGTTTGATATTTTAATCTATATAATTTCGATCAGAAATACGCCAGAATATTTTACTTTATGGAAATAATGAATTTAATTATTAAACTTTCAATTAAAGCTAAAATGAAATCTTCAAGAAAGATTTTTCATTTTTAAAATTTAATTTTAAACCTTAGGAATCGAAAATTTATTCCAGAAAACCGGGGGTCCCTAATTAAGTTTATTGAGATACATTTTAATTTGTTGATGAATGACGGAATTAGGAAATCCATTATTAACAAGTGTTTATTTAATGTTATGTAATTCTTTACAGAATATGGTTTTGGAAGAAGATATTATTTGTGTGCGTTGGATATTTTTTTTTATAACGGTTAACTTATATCTTTAGGGGAATTCACTATTATAAATAAGAAGACACGAGTTAATGCTAGTGGGTTTCCTATATAGAGAAGTAGTAAATTTATGTGTGTTGGAATCAATAAGTACATCAAGAAATGGAATTTTATTATTAACATTAAGTTCTAGTGTAATTTTGAGTACGGAGTGACTATCAAATTTGTTTTTAAGTTGTGTAATTTGATTAATATTTTTAGCTAAAACGAAAATGACATCTATCTTACATATAGAGGGGGTTTATTAGTGTCAATACATATTTTATTTTCTGAACGTGCCATATAACAATTAGATAAAAGTGAATTTAAAAGAGGTCCCATCGAAATACCGTCTATTTGAGTAAAATATTACCTAGGAGGTCAATGAAAAGCTACTTGAGTGGTACATACATTTTTTTAAAAAATAGTGAGTTTAATATTGAGTGGGGTGAGTTGGGTACCGTCTGTGAGAAAAAGAGCACTATAATATAATTCACTTCGCCAGAAATTTGAAGACGGCATGCTGTACTGCATGGCATTCGCACCGGAAGCTCCAATACGGATATTTCAGAGTGTTTGAGCGTTAATCTGAGGACGGGGCAGTGAATTCATAAAGTGTTGGAGGAGTCCATTGGCGATTACGAGGTTACAGTAGTTCGAAAAACTCACTCTGATCGTTCTGATATGAAAATAATTTCTTGGCGATAGCTTCAGACTCAACACGGAGGCATACATCAAGTGCTTTGAGTAGGTAGTGCTGCTCTGGGTCAAGGGGGTGACTGCTGAAATGCCCTATCTCTGGCAACTGGACTCAGCACCATACCACACAAATAGGAAAACCCAGTCATCACTCTCAGACAATTTCTGCGACCATATCACCTTCATATTACATCTGGCCACTTAATTCCACACTCCCTTGATTATTATGTATGGGCGCAGTTTATCGAGAGACCAAAATAATTCCTTATATAACACTTAACTGAAAGCAAGGATTATGGTAGCATTCACCAATTTAAACAAGGAAACCGTCCAGAAGAGTTACAGGATATTCCGAAATCGTCTAGAGGCCGTTTTTGCGTAATTCAGATGACAATTTATCCATCGCAGTATGTCTGTGTGTGTGTGTGTGCGCGCGCGCTCGCGCGTTTGTGTGTGTGTAGATAGATGTGTATATATCAAACCTTTGTCATTGTTGTTGAGTTTGCTATTCGAAAACAAATCAGCAATATCGATACTAATGTACTTGTAAAATATGTGAAACCTTGTTAGTTTGAGTTACTTTAATATTCAATTCGACAATTGAGTGAAGATATGGCGAACAGCAAAGTACCTCTGATAATGGATCTTTCTTCTTTGTTGAATTAATGAATGTTATTCATGAGTGCAGTCATCGCAATAAGAGATTTGGCCCCACCATTACTGTTGATGGACGGTTAAGCAAATGGCGAGAACAATAAACGATTATGTAAATCGTAGGGAGAAGGAAGAAGAGCAGAATAAAGAGAGGGATATGGATGAAAAGGAAAAAGAGAGCCTAAAGAAAAAGAGAAGCGAAAGAAGGTATGGGGGTCATTAAAGACAAAAAGGAAAGACGTAAAAAGTGGAATTAACAAAAAAGGAGGAATGCCGTCAACGACATCGGAAACGAATTGGTTCAGGGCAAACAGCATCAATAAAGAAAATTTAGAAAGACAAGAAGAAAGAAAAAAGAAGATAGGGTAAACGGGTCAATAAATCGGACGGCTGAAAGAACGATAAGAGAGAGAGAGAGAAGAACAAAGAAGGAAAACGAGGGAAAGAATGAGGAAGAAACCAAGTAGAAACAGAAGGACAAGGGAAAGAACAAAAGAAAACGTATTAGAAAAGGTGAAAGAGAAAAGAGAAAGAAATAGGCGAGAAGAGTGAGGAGTAAATGAACGTTCACTCAATAGCACGAAATGGTTGTTTGCAAATATTTCCCATTAAGCCAAGGGACATGTCGATGGAGACGGTCACTGTTGATTACTTGATGAAATGTTTTCAATGACCTCATAAAATGCTCTTCACCTTTTTCTCATTGGTTAGAAAACTTTCTGAATTCTACTGCATGTTATTTTAAAAAATGTACAGCTCTCGTTGGGCCATTTCGAAGTTTATATCTGCTAATTTATATTTTCGTACAACAAAATAATTTAAGCAATTAATAGATTTAAAAAAAAAATCCGACACTGTTACGACCATAAGCGTTCTTTTAGTAGGTACATATGTTTGAATAGTTACCCCTATTTTTAAAGTGAAATTAATATGTACCGGCCAATATCCTCTTTATTTGAGAAACCACGTCTTAGACAGGCGTGCTGTTAGCGTTTTAGCTTTAACGGTCTTTGCAGTAAGTAGACACCCTGTTGTTGTTTTTTTTTCTTTTTCGTTGAAGAAATATTAACATTTAGCGGTTTAGTCTCCTAAAATGTATACAAAACATGTTAATCTATAATTAAAACGTCATATCTCTTTTAAAGATGGAAATTGACCTTAGAAATTAACGGACTTACATTTAAGCAAGTTGAATTGTGTCAAAGTAGCATATGAAAAGTGAAACTGAAGTACAAAACCACCTGATAAGTCTTTCTACATCAAAATGAAATACAATGGAAAATATGAATAGCTTTTGTTCATCAACAATTGCTATTCGACAATTCTATTATAAGGTAAATACGAATATAAACATTAAATATACACAGTCAGTCAGTTACGTGCTATGCGTGATACACGCCTAGGCGATCATGTATCTTTCGATATATGACTGACGAGGCAGATTTTTTCCCTGCGGTAGACCAGTTGCCATCCAAGGCTATAGAACCCGGTCTGTCCTGCTATTTACCCATCGCTGGTGCGGGGGAGAAGAGGAAGATTCATACCTTTCCCAAGGGTATTAGCACGTACGTGAATGTAATGGATTCGACTGGAATTCGAACTAGGCTCTCCGACCTGATTATATAGCTTTGGTGGGTAACCAGTCTACCGCAAAAATTGATGGCAACCTACTGCGGGAAAAACTTCTGCTTAGTCAGTCATAAATCGAAAGAGACATGATCGCTCAAGCGTTTATTACCTGTGCCACTCAATTGGTTTCAATATATTGATTATTATCTATGTCTGATGAATTTTAGCAAGTATTGTTATTTCACTAAGATTTGGCGCATATATATATATATATATATATATATATATATATATATATATATATCATAAATAGTTAAATATAAATTAATTATATAGATAAATTCACTAACAATCGTTTACAAATGCAACAAAATCCCTTCGAATTGGACCGTTATGTAATCTACAGGGTTAGAATGTTGATTGATAGGAATAAATAACAGATGCGAGCTATAAATAAATGAAGACGGTCAAATGGCGGCAGAGTGGGTCAAACTTCACAGCAAGGCTTCAGCAGCAGTAAGAAAAGAGAAGCGAAGGAGGTCAAGTGTAAAAAACAGCAATGGTAACAGCAGTCAGTTAATAAAGAACATTAGATTTAAGGCTTCAATATCTAGGTTCAGGACTGTCCTGAGCCGAGTAGTATCGACTTAGAACAAAAAAAATGTGATATCGCAAGACATGAACAATGAAAAGAGAACAACCTACTTTGTGGATTTAATAAAGGGTTTATTTCCTGAAGGTTACCTGGATCGAAAGACAACTGAAGAAGGCAGGATGTCACAACGACCGAAACAAGGAAGTTGGGGACAATAGTCCTAATGTAAATAATAACTCTCCATCGAAGAAATTAAAAAAAATCTTAATTAATATCATAAAATATTCTTGAATGATATATTTATAATATTGTCATGTGTATATATCTATGTATGGCACGGAGATTGTTAACCGGTTTGCCACGCAACTTGTTACTGGGTTCGATTTTAATTTGCTGCTCGACTAGTGAGGATCTAGGACATTAAGTTCAACTTAATCAGGAATGGTACATAGTGTGAGAATTCGAAGTCTGTTAATTAGAAAAGTATTATTAATTCAAATTAAACACTTTCCTCGCTCATCTTACAGCCATTACGACTACAACCATCATTAAACACTACCACCAAAAATAAATACAGATTGACCTGTTCAATATCAGTTAAAGGAGAATTCCATAAGATGCAAGTAAAAAGAAAAGACAAAAAAAGACTGATTTTATAGGAAAAATAAAGAATGCTTTTATCAAACGGTACTTGGAGCACTTGCAAAATCAATAATGCCTCTTCGTCTAGAACCGCCACTAGTTCAAGGTTAGGCTGAACGCTAGAGCATTGTCTCAAGAGGCAAAGACTCTTGATGTTTTATCATAAGTATAGAGTTGAGAAAGAACATTTGCGGAAAACTTACTTCAATGATGAAACTTTTAAAGATATTTAACGGTTATTCGTTCTATCATAATTTTAATTCAAATCATTCTTGAATATGTCAGGGTTTGATATTTTTGATATTTCCAGCCTGCAAAATTTGCTCTATTTTCAAAATTATTTTTGCTGAACAGTTCTAACAAGTACTGCCAAAAAAGGTTTCAGCTAGACCAAGAATCGATTTGATTAGATTTGGGAAGTGAATCGGATAGAGAATTTTTCAGTACTCTCTCGTATTAAGAGCGTCTCATGATAAAGGTACGATATCTGTTGATTACCTTTAGTTCGCTCGTTTTTTTGTTTTTTGTTGTTTTGTTTTGTTTTTTGTCTTTGTGTATGTGTGTGCAGGGGTGTGAGGTTCGTTGCTATAAAGTCATTCTTGACAGCATCATTGATTATCTTTTTTTTCTCCTGACTTACTTCCATATTCTCTCTTTATATAGCCTTGAATATCCATGGAAGTGATCACTGAAATCATTCAACAGTTTATTGATTTCTTGTGAGACTTTTGTTCTGGTAAGCTTACATTAATATCTGCTTCTTCATTTTCTAATTGGCAATTTATAAATTAGGATGAGCGGGTAGCGTAACAGTTGGCAACGAGGACACGTTGAACGAGTCTGTATCGTTCACTTCGCACCATGCCCGAGGAAAAGAGAAAAATACATTTTCCTCCAGTTATGGGTCAAATACCAGTCCAAACTGAACTCTCTTGCCTTGGGTGGTAGCTAGTTTATAAAAGGAACATTTTTAATTCAACCTTCCGTAATTAATAGAGCAATCTGGACAGCCTTGGTAGGGCAACTAATCTAGGGAGATAACTCTTGAATTCAAAAGCAGTCTATCTTGCTCTAGACATTGCTGCCACGGGTGCAGAAATGTCTCCCAACGAGACTTGTGATCGTGTTCAATTTGTAAATAGTTTGTCTAAAGTATAACTTTTGCTAAAATTATACAAATTTCAAATAATGTTAATGATCAGAGATATTTTGTGTCGTACCATACCTACGGGCGATAATGTGTATGTCCCAATTCAATTAAATACAGTAGTAAATACTGTATGTTGGTCTGCAGCTGTGCTGGTCAAACTCTCTGCCTCTGGGCAGAGAGGATCCCCAGACGAGGCCATGTCGAAGGGCATAGTCTTGTCTCGGGAAACAGCTACACGACTCCGTTTTATACGGGGTATACGGGGAATTTTTGGGCGAGCCTACGGGTTCAGATACCCCACATTAAATTCGACCTTGTGCCACATCTTACCACGTGGGGCCGTTGGTAGACATCCTGCAGTTGGCGATTCATTGTGGAATTCACTTGACTCACTACTAGCAATTGACTACTTCTTCTACGCGCCGCTGGCGAATCTTATGTGCTGTTCGTGTCCTAAGTATTATCGTTCATTACCAACCTTCGTGTGATTATTCTATTCAGTAACCTTCCCTAGGTTACAAAATTTTGGCAACGAAGATTAGCCAAAATTATAACATTCTGATACTCGGCTCTTTGGATAGTAGTTAAAAGAGTGTAAGAAAAAATTAGTTATAGTATTAATCTATATAACAGTATGTAACATGACTATTCGGCAAGTTTATGAAATTTGTTAATAACTTCATGACCTTGTCGAAATAATAAATTATCACATGATTCTCCTTTGTCGTTATATAATATTTTACTTTATTTACATTATTCGGACTATTGTCCTCATCTTTGTCGCCATGTTTATTACAACGTTTCGGCCGTTGTACGCTCCGGCCTTCTTCAGGTGGTTTGAATGTCGAACTGAACCCTTTATTTCGCTCACTGGGGTAGAGTGTTCTAGTTCCACGTGCCATGTTTAATGGGTGTCAATTATCAGTTATCTCCTGTTAATTTTCCCTCTGAAAGTTCTCCACTGCCTTAACCGGATATTGAACTCACACTTTTTGGGTTCTGATAACTGGCATCCATAGTTCGAATAGTCCGAATAATGTAAATAATGTATATAATACCTCATCTCAGAAATATTGACAAACATTTTACTTTATTAAATAACAAGAAAATATCTCGGTTTCCTGAATTGTGACAGCTATATTGGTTAGTATCAGTGTTTTGCCTTTCTTCTTATACGATGTCTCCCGCCCTAGCAGCCAGTTTTAATTCTTATATTTAGTCATAAATATAACATGCCAAGTCAATCCACTCTACGATTGCTACTGGTTCAATCAGACATTTTAATTCAGCGCATAGTGGTCCGGCAGCTCCCACGGTTCGGCACTTTTTTTTTTAATCACCCGGTATAACTTCGTTGAGCGGCTACGTCGGCATCGCCACATGCTGTTTACAACTTTCCGCAGCAACCGACAGCAGCATAGTATTTTGGTGATATGGTCTTGCTCCTTTGTTATATATAGCTGCATATTTACTGATTTAGGATGTCACTCAAGAGAGGAGGGGGGGCAGATGATGCTACCAGAGGTTAGAAGCATAAGCATAAATCTTTATCTATGCTTAAAAAGGTGTAGTGACTGAAGAAAATTCGGACAGAGGGAGACTCAATTGGGACTCTGTCTACGGACGAAAACTCGACTGAGAATTTGGCCGATAAGAAACACTCGGGTTCTCCATCGAAATTAGAGAAAGGAACGTCATCATTTTATATGTGGAATGAACTGGCAAAGCTATGTTTGATCCGGCATTTTCTGAGATCCGGCAGTAGCCTGATCCCAATGGTGTCGGATTAAAGAGGTCGGACTGTAACATGTAACTCAGTATTATTTACTACTACTATCATAGATATAGATTACAGTGATCGGGACATCATCTAACCTAACAGCAGGCTTTTTCTTTTGTTTTAAATCATCCCCCCCCCGAAGCAAGGCAATAAAGCCACTAAAACGCAAGAGGTTACTTAGTGTCAGAGAATATAAGAAAAAGAAAGCATTATTAACAAGTGAGGACAGTAAAAGAACAGGAATTGAGAAGAAAGAAGATAACGATTGACATCGCATTTAAATTTTTGAAGATCAAAGTTGGGAAGCAAGAAGCTGGGAAAGAGTTACACAAGCAAAACATGTGATAGATGAAACTGTTAGCATAGAACTTACGGTTACATTCTGACGTAGAGAGTGGCTACACACCAAGCGGGATTAAAATCAAGACCTATTAAAGGGTGGATGAACCTCCATGTACAGTCAATGGCCACTTTACTCAATGGGGTCGACCCATTTCAGGCAGAGGGAGACTCAGTCGGGGCTCTGTCTACGGATGGAAACTCGACTGAAAAAAAAAAAAAAAAAAAAAAAAAGACAATAAATGTGCCCGAGCTAAATTACTAAGTATGCAGCCAGTGCGATGAAAACACGGTATCACTGAGTAGAAGGTCTCCTAGATTGATGCCAACAACTAGAGCAGAAGGTCTCCCGATGGAATCAACTGCTACATGTTTGTGACTAAAGAGACCTTCAAGCTAGAGGACATCAGCTATGGATGGGTTCCGCCAGGTGTAAGATTTTTTGTAGAGGAGATACGTTTTTAAAAGTCTATGCTTTCAAAAGAAACACATTCTTATCTTTTCCTTCGCCTAATGTTTAAGTCCATAGGCAAAGCATAAAGCGCTCCTCATCAACAGGTCAGCAAACAGTCCTTTTCTTTGTTCAGAGTCATAGATTTTCGACATGGCCGTTAACATAAAGGCATATCATCTTACACGGCTAGACTAAACAAAAAAATGGAGTATTGCTTCTACATCTGGGCTGGGTTTACGTGGCCTTGAATATTTGTTGGGACCTAAGCTCACTCCAGTCCTCAAGTGGAACTCGTATATACGATCCAACACTAAAGAAAATAGTCGGGTTATTGTAACGCTCCAAAAAGTATCTGACTCTTTCTGCCACGCTCTATCTTTTGTAAATCTAGATCAGATAAAAAAAAAATAGAGTATTGCTTCTACATCTGGACTGGCTTTGTGCGGCCCTGTCGGTGATGAATTATTTTCCATCGTACAGCTCCTTTGCCCCAGACGAAACGCTGCTAGCCTCTTGATACTCAATCGCTATATTCATGCGAGATGTTCGGGCGAATTACATTCCTTGGGTCCACAAGCCCAGACCTTAACAGCTAGGACTCTTAAGAGGATGTTTTCCTGATCGCTACAATCTTAAACTCTTCAAATCCAGGGTGAACCGCTATCTATCCTACCTATCCTCGGAATATTCACCTTTTGCTCCTCTCCACTATTGTAACCCTCTACCTTGAGTAGCTTTTGGGCCTTCTATTGGGTCAACGCCAGTATAAAAAGCACTTCTCCCCTGTCGGTCAGCAAGTAGTATCTTTCTTCATAAATTTAAACTCGAAATCTGTGCTAATCGAAAGACTTTTATTCCAAACTTTTATTATTTTTATCTTATTTGATTGAATAAATAATTCATAAAAGTTCACATCTGTCTTGTATTTTGCTTTCATCTTTATTTTGTTGAAAATGAATTTTGATGGTATGAATATCTACTCGGTAGATAGATACATCATTTATGTATGCTCCAGATTCTGATTCAAGCTTTAAAAGTCGTTCAGCGATTAATTTTTAAAATGGTTCTATTTCTTGCTATGAAATACACTGCCCAGCATCCAGAATAGTATTCCAAAGTTCAAATTTCTTCGGATTATCGGGAAAATGTTCTAAAAGAAATACTGTGGAAAAGCATCGATTGAATTGATATTGATATTTTTCCTTTTCAGGCCCTTGTTTCTACAATCAGTCTATCAACTTTTCTCTTCCTTGATCTTTCCGTAAACTCCCTCTATGTAATTCCTACTCTCCTCCCCACTGTTTATTATCATATTGCTTCTCTTCCTCATCCGTTTACACCCGACCATTTCCTTCTCTTCTTGGTCATTTCCTTCCCCAATTACGGCAATATCACGCTGAAACACCGGTTCCTGTACGTTCATGGAAGTTAAGCAACGTCTAACCCGGTTAGTACCAAGATGGGTGACCACTTGGGAAATCCAGCTTATGTAAGCTTGTATGCGCAGTTTATATAATAGATAAAGGCCCGGAATTGTTAATCAGATAGTCGAGGTTCAATTCCACTTGGGTTCGTTATATTCACTTACGCGCAAATACTCTGTGGAAACTAGAATCCAAATCTTCTCCCCCAGGTAGGGGCTAATGAGTAAAATTTATATCACTAAACCATTATTATGTCAAAAAATTCTTACAATCTAAAATATTTTCTGCCTTTAAATAACCTGCAAAGTGTTGATAAGCCGTAGAAAACGAATCAACCAACAATCGCCTTCTTTTCCGTTTTTCTTTCTACCTATTTTCATGTTCTGACTCTTTTCTCCTTTCTCTCTCAATCCTCCTCCTCCTTTTCTTTAATTCCTTTTCTTCTTCCTTTCCATCTTCTTTTCTCTTTCTTTCCTTTTGCCATATTGGTTTGCCCCCTTCTCTCACTGACACACACTTTTTCCACATTTCCCTCTATTTCTTTCGCGTCATCTTCCTCTCTGTCTTCTATTTCTTTTTCCTTCATATTCGTGCCCTTTCTTCTTCTTCTTCTTCTTCTTCTTCTTCTTCTTCTTCTTCTTCTTCTTCTTCAAGATATATTTTCTCTTTGTCACTCTCCTTTCTTTATTTTCTCTTTACCTCTCTTCATCCTATTCCCCACCATTTTCTCCTCCCGACTCCTTTTTATATCTGATTTCCCACTCCTTCTTCCTCTTCAACTTTCTGTTCCCGCCTATTTCACCTTTATTCTCTTTGTAAAGAAACCATTTCACCGATCGAAGAGGCAGTCATATTATCTCTAAAGGCAAAAGTCATTTACTTTCTCACTTCCTCATTCAAATTCGGCTTTCTTCGTTCTTGCTTAAAGACTTATTTCCTGCTTGTTTAGAAACTTGGTTTCTTCCTTACTTAATATCAAAATAATTTTTACCGTCTCTTCTACTTCCTCTTCTTCCTCTTCTTCTACTTCTTCTTTTGTTAGTTTTTCTATTCTTTCTGCTTTCAAACTTTTTTCTCTTTTTCTTTATTTATTTCTTTTGTTTATTTTCGTCCTTTTTTAACATTTTCAGGCTTTATTTTCTTTACTTTGTCTTGTGACTATCGTTCCAAGAAATTTACATTCATTTTCTGCGTCATTTATTTTCGGTAATTTTTTCCCTCGTTTTATATCACGATTCCTCGTTCAGACCTCCGAGGTGTTCACAGAATATAAACGCAAAACAATGCTCACTAATGAATTTTCATAAAAGGAAATAAAATGAGTGACTGTCCCGCTTGTTTTATACACATTCTACGGTAAAATGACGCTTTTCACCTTTATATATATATATATATATATATATATGTGTGTGTGTGTGTGTGTGTGCGCGCGTGTGTGCGTGTGTGAAAAGAGAGAACGTATTGCTATTTCATGTTTCATAATGCGTCATTCTATCTACATTTTGGATTTATAAAAATTATTAATTCCATTAAAAACTTCTGTAATTCCACAAAAGTAATATTTCTTTCATTTAACCATTTTGTCGTCAGAGTAAAAAGAAAACTGTGCTTGCTTGTTGATATTTCAATGTTTACTTTCGTCATTAGCAGAACACAAAATATTTAGTAAAAATCAATTATACGCATTTGTTAGTTTTCTAACAAAATATTTATTACTTGCAAGTAAATCTTCCGGAATCACTTTAATTTTTTGTGCCTTAAACAATAAGAAGAAAGTATTTAAGAAGATTTATACTAAATAAAATAAGCAGTCAGGGTTATAATAATTTTGGAACCTTCAATAATCAAAGATAATATGGAAAGATTTTCTTGGTTTCAAAATTTCTCAAGCATCTTTGGGGAATAGTTACCATATCTAACGCCAAAATAGATGCCCGTGTATACTGAACGTTCTTCCATTTCAGTGGGGCTTCTTCAGAAAAAAACATTTTAGCGTAGTTAAGCATGTTGAAAGCATGTTATCAGTACGTTGCAAAACATTAGAAAAAGACAGCTTAGCTGTAGCGGAAAACACCACTGTATATAAAAAGTAAGCTATCAATACAACTGAACATGAGGCAAGAAATCACAATAAAAATATCTTGCAGGATTACGGCATTAAAACATTGGATATATATATATATATATATATATATATATATATATATATATATATATATTATTTTTATTACGTCAAATATATATATATATATATATTATTTTTTATTACGTCAAACTTTTTTAGTGGATACCCGTATTTGAGAAGACTCTCCGTTTATTTTAAACAGTACTTATTTCGTCTACCGACCTGCTCTAACATTTACCATATATATATATATATATATATATATATATATATATATATATATATATATATATATTAAGAAAGAGAAAGAACAGGTGAAGAGAATCCTGAAGTTCTTAGAATTTACCTTTTAAAAGTGCTCAACACAACTTAGAGTAAAATATTATTAAAACATTTTATTATAATAAATTACAATTTTATTTTAATCTATTATAATAAAAATATTTTAATGATATTATATATATATGTGTGTGTGTGTGTGTGTACAAGATGTAGTATAAATATTTTTTACAAACTTTATATATATATATATATATATATATATATATATATATATATATATATATATATATATATATATATAAGATTATGAGAGATTATATACAAATTCTATATATCTAACTGAATGACAAATTGAAAAACTACTGTTACGCGTTTCGTCCTTCGAAAGTACTCCTTCAGGTTAAATAATGAATGACTGCTTCCGAGTAAATAACATTACTTAGTCTGAAGAAGTCCTTATTATGGTCGAAAGGCCTAACAAAGTATTTTCCCTTATTGTCGTACATATGAGATTATGTATTTGTTCCCATTGAAGATTTATAAGTAAGCTCACAACTTCGAAACTCTAAAAATATTAATGTGATTTTCGATTCAGTTTTAAAAGCAGTTCGTGGAAAGTGAGTCAAAATTTAGCAGAATACATTAGTCAGTAAATTGATTCTTTAAGAAGATACGGAAATTAACCAAAATAAAACAGAAACAATTCAAGAAAGTTGCTGACAGTAGCCAATGTTTGCTTTGCATTCTAACGTAGGTTGACTTTGCAAGAGGCAATTGCTTCCTCATCAAAGAATGGCGGATAATCAATGAATCGGATAATTGAACACTGGCATTTATTGCAACTGCTACTTTTGCATTGAAAAACTCGGCAGCAAAGAGAAATCGTTATTGAACTGCATCATAGGAAAACGAGTGGTGTTTCTGTCTTGAGGTTGGTATTAATTACTATAGGATGGCCTTACCGTATTCTAATGTATTCTGGGTAAAACTGGGACCAAAGATGATGAGTTTTATTGATTATGTTACTGCTGCTGCTGCTTCTGTTTCCATATCCTTTCTGTCTTTTAAACCACCAAAGATTACAGAAAAATTCCCTTGGTGTTGGGGCACAACAGGTAAAATGCTATGCAGGTTATTTCCATGGCAATGAAGGGAGGTATATAAAACCTAGCGAGCAACGAATGTTAAATGTTGAATGGAAAGAAAACCAAATGATGAGAAAAGAAAGAAAAACTTGGCGGTAAGCCAAAATATATTTTAAAAAAATGATTTTTGAAAGTCATTTTTTTATTTATTTATTAGAAAAAAACCCTGCCTCTTTTCAAGATAGTACAAAATGCACTTCTAAACGAGTTCAAACCACCGCTTTGCCAATATTTTTCTTCTTTTATTTAGATTTTTTTAAGGATTTTTTTTCTTGCCAGTTTTGTAAGAAAATTAACTGAATCCTACACAAATTTCAACAAATTGCAAAAGTAATTATAAAATTCCGTTTCAGCGATTTTCTTTAAATGGCGTATTACAGTTGGAATCCTGGAGGATATTTTTTACATTTAAAACAAAATAAATACTGAAAATTATTAGGCAAACATTTCCAACGCTATTTTTCGAAAACCAAATCCTGAATACACTTCGAAATCTTTACAGATATAATAACGTGTTCAATATGAAATTGCACCTTTACGATTTCTTAAACAATATATTTTTAATTTACAGTGTACATCAGGTAATTGAGAACAAATTATATCGATCGATCGATTTGTTTTTAAAGTTTATCAACCCTTTGTTAGTTATTTAAAGCTGAAACATATTCTGAATTGTAAAAATGAATTTTTACGAGTGAATATAACAGTGACAATTTTCTGAGAATAACAACGTTTTTTCAACTATTTAACCCATATCTGGGGGAAAGAAATGGATTCATAACTTTTCCCAAGGGTAATTGTGCGTAAGTGGTATTCGAACTCGACTTCTTATTCCGATCCACTATCCATTACACCACCCACCATCCTATAATAATTACACCATCCACCATCCCATAATAATTACACCACCCGCCACCCCATAATATAAAGAAAAATAAATATATTCAATAGGTTTATACGTGTTCCGCTTAGAGAAAATAAAAAAGGGTCATTTAATAAAATTTCTCGTGGAAGAACTTGATGCGGCTTCGGAAATGACTGCATAACAGGGATCAGGTGGTTTTTTGTTCATGTTAGCCCTCACAGCGGCGGTAGTGGCCTTCAGGCAAGTCCTTGGTATTGTAATTGGTATTTCCTCTCGATAGCACTTCAGACGTGGTAGTCTAGGAAAGTTGCAGACCACATGTTGGATGCGACATGATTCGCGAAAATTTCCGGCCGGCTATTCCTGTGTTATGTGCGAGGGATCAGTATGGCCACCACTGTTCTGCTTAACTTGATTCAATCATTGCCTACTTTTTAAGGGCTGAACATCCCGACGAATAACCGAGGCTGATGGTGGATGGGTGTTTTTTATCGATTTACCATCTCTTGATAGTTTGCGAATCAAAGTGGGATAACTTTTAACTGCACATTAACGGAACAACTGCTTTATGAATTTAGTCTTAGTCTTTAACCCATCGATGAAGGTAGTGCTATAACGCCAGAACATTATTTTCATTACCATG